AAAATTGCTTCAGCTTGAGACTTCAGAAAGCTGCTGGCAAATAGTGTACACAAGTCTGGTGTCTCAAACAGCATTTGCTCTACAACCCCCAACATCCCCACCCTGCAATGGACATGCTAGCTGTGGATGGCGAGTGTTGTAATCCAGCACATCTTGAGGATATTGGGTTACAGACTGAACAAGCCTGGGCAAAACAGGCAATGGCCAGCCTTGCAGATTCAGCTATGAAAAACTGAATATAAAGTAGCTCCATCATCAGGGATAGCTCAAGTGTCTTGTGTAACATACATCAGCTGACGGAGAGCCTTAAAAAAGCTTTAAGCTATAGAAGTAGCGCTTGTGCCGCAGGGCTGCATTCTTTGCCATTTATTTCTGTACAACAGAGTGCCCAGTTCAGGCAGTGGAGTGGACAGAGTGACAAACTGCACCACTCTGCCCCCCTTCCCCTGCCAGGAGGGGGCAGGCCTCTCACAGGAGCCGTGTGGCTGGGGCACAGGGTGAGCGGCCAGATGGGCAGGAACGAGCAGCCAGCTGGGTTGGCTGCCCAAGCAAGTGAGGATATGGCTGGTCCTCTGAGTGAGTGGGAGGGCAGGCGGCGGCGGTGGCGGCTTGGGGTGGCAAGATATGCTGTCCTGGGCTTGATGACACAACACTGTGCTTCTGTTCTGTCATATTCATCATTGGCAAAGAATGGGGATGTGCAGCCAAGCACTTTAAAGCCCCACTGATTTCTGTTCAACCATGTTAAGCATTTGTTTAACTCTCCTGTTTAAATCGGTTGGACTGGCTGGCTGCATTTTGCCTCTTGTATCCCACCTGGAGCTTTTTCAACTTGGAGCTCTTTGTGAATTAAAGCAATTAAAGCATGTGAATGAGAATACTACTAGAACTCAGAATCTTTTATGATATTTATATTAGTACACACGCAGTGTCATCCTGGATATATTTACTTGGACAATGCCTCGCTGTATTCGGGGAGACTTTTCTCTGAGGTCGTATGCAAAGCATAGCAACCTAACTCAGGCTCAATCAAGAGTTTGTGGTTGACTTCTGTGGGATAAATATTTCTCTGACTATGCTGCATAATAAGGAGGGGGCATGCACATTTGAAGTGCTTAGTTGGAAATGTCTTTTCTTGTGAATACAGCAATAGACTATCACCCTTTATTGACGGCTCTATCCAAAGCACCGAAACAATGATATATTCAGATGCAGATTTGCTTTAGTCACTCAAGGCTAAAATACGTTTCATTCAACATTTTTGTATCAGTCTAGTTATTCAATCAGATATTGCCCATTTAAGTTTAATGTGCTTTGATGCACACTTCCAATTAACGAGATGTTAACATTTCCTCCCATTCTAAGAAAACACTGTATGACTTTTGCCAAAGGAGGTGAGGCATCATCCCCAACAGCAAACACATAAAATGTATAGCAAATGTACATTCGTTTCCCAACTATTGCATAGAATCTACATTGTTTCTTCAAAGGCTCATATCTGTTGTGAGGCTATCATATTTTCCCAGCACTCAAACCACAATGTTTTGGACCTGGGGAAAATAATATAATTTCCTCAGAGAGCACATTCATTCCTTTCATGATGGCAATAGGGAATGTGGTTCTACAAATGCCTTATTATGGAGATCCCATGTGCTTCCCTCCTGGATTATTGCAGCAAGGGAGCAAACATTTTCATTCATGGGTTCTCTGGATTTTATTTTTACAAAGGCTAATGCTTTAAAAATACATTATAAAGGCAATATACAGGGAGCAGACAAGCAGATATCCTACAAAGACACACATATATCTAAAACAATATGAAAGAAGCCACAGCAAGAAAAATCTGGACCTGATTAAAATCTCTTGATATGGAGCCAAATGCTTGAAGAGTAGTCTTAAACTGATGCTGAATAGACAATGGTGTGAGCATGAGCCAGGCCTTGTCAGGGAGATGATTCTATAGCTGGGGGCCATGACTGAAAAGACCCTCTCCCATGTTGCTGCCTTCTGAGCCTTCCTTGGATGACACACCAATGATGCTGGACATAGTGCACTGGTAGGTTCATGCTGGGAGAGATGCTCCATCAGGTACTGTGATCCAAAGCTAAATTTTGACTTATAGGCAAAAATGAGCACCTTGAATCAGACTTGGAAACATACAGGTGGTCAATGCAAGTGGGGAGCATCTATGTTATATGTTCAGAACTTTTTGACCCTGTTTTCAGTGTGGTCTCCACGTTTTCCATGTGCTGCAGTTTCTGAACTATCTTTAAAGGAAGCACATTGCAGTACTCTAACTTGCAGGTTACCAAAGCACTGATAGTTGAAGCCAGGTGATCCCTGTCCAGATAGAGGCAAAGCTGGGCCATCAGTCAAAGTTGGTAGAAGGCACTCCATACCGCTCAAGTCTACTGATCCTCAAGTAACAACGATGGCTCCATGAAAATGCCCAGGCTATGAACCCACTGCTTGAAGGGAGTGTGTTGAGAACCCTTCATGCTGTCAGATGAACCACCTATTAACAGCATCTCATTCTTGAGTTTCTGTTTATTAGCCCTCATCCATCCCATTGCCACAGCCAGGCACCAGTTTAGAACATCCACAGTCTCAGCAGAAGATGAAAAGGAGAAATGGAGGTACATGCCCTCAGCATACATATGACAGTACACTCCAAAACTCTGGATCACTGCATTCAGTGGTTTCATATAGATGTTAAATAGCACGGGTCATAATTGATTCCTGAGGAATCCTGGACTGAAGAATCCACAGGTCCACAGCAATGTTTCTTAAGCAGTACCTTCCAGTGCTGAAAATATAAGTAGGAGTGAAGCCACTGCAATGCAGTTCTTCAATTTCAAACTCAGACTTTCATCTCAGAAAGATACCATAGTTGATGATATCAAATGGTATCAAGAGTTCAGCGTCATACTCCCCCCATCTCTTTCTTGACATAGGTCATCATACAAGGTAACCTCAGGTCATCTTGCCCAAAGCTGGCCTGAACCACAACTGAAATGGATCCAGATAATCAGTCTCATCCAAGAGCATCTGGAACTAGTTAGCAAGTAGCACTAGTTAAGCAACCACCACTCAGCAAAGGCACATTCACACCAGCCACAGATTATTAGAATGTCTTGGGTACTAGGAAGGTGTTTTATGGAGTAGGGAGTGAGGAGTGATCATACTACTGCCTCTTTCAGACAGCCCAGAGCCATCTCCCTCTCACAAGGAGACAGTTATCACCTGCCTGGGCCACCTGGGTATTCCTTCCCTGCCCATTTTTATAGGCCAAGGCAAGGATCCAGTACCAAAGTGGTGGCATGAACCAGTCCAGACAACTTATCACCATCCTCAAGCTGAAACTGGACAAGTCTCTGCTGAATTCCTCACCTGAGTCACAGGCGAATAATACTGGAGTCTAAAGCCTGGTAAATGCAAGATATTGCCTCTTGCTTTAGGGAATGTATTACAGTGGGCTTCAGCAGACTGATTGTATCCTTGGGGCCAGCACATAATAGGCCACGAACACCTTGAAAAGCTCCAGTGGGCAGCACACAAGATCTTTGCTACCTTCGTGGCCCCTGAATATACATGACCATAAGCACAGAGCAGTGTTCCATTAAAGACACTCCCTATTTTGCCCCATCATCCCCAGCTCTGGAGTATGACGTGGAATACTACAAACTCTGCTTCAGAAAGAGCCCTCGGAGCAGTTGTGTCAACTACCCAATTCATTTCTGCATCGCATAGATTGACCAGGCCCATATCAGCCAGAAATCTCTCCAGAGCCTTCTGGAAACCACCCAGATCCATTAACTTCCAGGAGCAGAGTCTCTTGTTGGGCCTCACCCTGATCCTCACAGTGGGGGAAAGCGGCTGTAAATCTGTAGATCTCAGCAGGCAATGATATGATTATGACAAAGGGTCTGATTCAAAGTCCTCCACCTTCAGACCTCCCTCTCCATGTGTTGCATCAGTGACATGCTGGAACTGTCCTGTGGTTGTCACAGAGACCATGAAGTCATGAGCCATCCTAGACAAGGCATGAATGTTGGCATGCCCCAGAACCAAGAGTGCAGGGGACCCACCAGGACACCTCCACCATCAGCTCAGACAAGGAGTCTGTATAACAGTGTTGGTTTTACATCTACAGAAACCCCTGTCAGATGGACAGGGAGCCTACTCAATTCCTGTAATTGCAGCAGCCTCGATCCCTGTCCCAAAAGCCCACCCTGAAGCTAAACCAAATACCCTGCTAGGCAGAGCTGGAAGAAACTAACTCCTGCTCACCCACTCAGGTCTCAGTTATACTGGCCAGATTGGCCACCTCATCTACTATTACACTGTGGATAAGGAGGTCTTATGCTGAACCAATCTGGCATTTGATAGCAGTGTGCAGATACCTGTGCGTGGTCAGAGGGCTGTAACACAACTCAGTCATTGGCTGTGTGGACTGTGTTCCCCTAACCTGCTGCCCTCTTCCCAGTGCCTTATCTCTCTTAACCCATAGCCATATTAATTGGAGCCCCCTTGGGTCTCTCCACTTGGCCCCATATCATCTCTCCAGGCATATGACCATATTTTAGGAGAACTGATCTTTTCTTTGTAAGGGTTTCCCCATCCTTCTCATCTTATATCCCGTTCTGGGACTCTTCATTCATATGCTCATCTATCTTTCGTTAAACATAGCACATTCCCTTCTTAGTCTCTTGCTTTGGAATCCAAATCAGACAAATTTATGGGGTGTGTGTGTGTGCAGAACAATAGCATGAGATTCCTCAACACTGCAAGGCTACTTCCCCTTCCCCTTCTCACATTATATACATATCAAAGGTTGCACTACTGTTTTTACAAAGGGATGAGTGATTAAGCTTCTAAGTCTGAGCCAAGAGAAGGAGAAAAGAAGGAAAGCTTAGCTGCTAGAAAGCCAGTGGTACTAATGCACTTCTCTGTGTTTTCTTCTTCTATCCTTATGGATATCCATCTGTCTTCCCCTGCAGGTGGGATTGGCTGCCTTGGTCGAGACAGAGGGCAGGCACGGACATGTCTTGATGCAGTGGAGATCTATAACCCTGATGGGAATTTTTGGAGAGATGGACCTCCCATGCCTTATCCTCTTCTCTCTTCAAGAACTAACTCTACCTTTGCTGGTGCAGTAGAAGGGAAGCTCTATCTATGTGGTGGATTTCGTGGAGCAGGTATTGGAGAAAACAAAAGGCACTATGAGGGCATCTGCAAGCAGGGGGCATCTAGGCTTTGCAGGACCAATATCACCATTCTAAGGGTGATAGACTCCATTTCCACCAGCTTGAATAATTTCCATGTATTTCCGATTCCTGGCCTGAATAAACTAAGCTTCATGCTGTTTGTTCTCTTTGGACAAACCTGAAAAGCAACACACTGGATTCTAAGCACTTTTTTTAAAATTCCAGGCCAATTGAGTTCTAAGTGTGCATAGGATCACTGGCTTAATGCTGAACTGCACTTATTTGTATACACCAGTCAGCTCTTGCTCCAGGTTTTTGAGGACCCTTGGTCAAGACACTCTCAATTGGCTATATTATGCTAACCCAACCTGACAATTACCTGTGGTGGCTTGGTTGTTTCAAAAATAATCCATGGAGCACGCAAGAAACGATGGGGCTCATCGTGGATTGTGCACCCCTTCCTTTGGTGTTCCAGCTGTGGCAGGACTGACCTGTCTTCCCCTCCCTGCCACAATTGCAAGGCATTTTTTAGCTTATTGTACATTTTTGCATTTAACCATTTTTTCTGTTCAGTCTGACAGCCAGTGACAGCCTCTCTTAAGTACCCAAGCAGCACGTTGGAGGGACTGTCAAAGTTTAGCCACCCTCTTTAGAAATAAAGTGCTCAAAATGTGTGCAATTGGGAAGGGGGAGTATTTTCCATTTATTTTATGGTTCAACTTCTGCATAAAAGTACAGCACGTACAAAGCTTAGGCCAGTGGTGGCGAACCTATGGCACACGTGCCACAGCAGACACCAGAGCCCTCTCTGTCGGCACATGAGCCAAGTCGCTCCAGCATCACCCCAGCAGCCGAGCATCGGATAACAGTGAACGTAGGGGCCATGCACATGCTCGGGGGGAGTAGCGGTGCCAGGCGCTGACATCACAAGCCGTGACTCAGTAGCCGCAACTCGTCCGACCTTTCACATGGAAGGTCAGTGCACTGCAAAGGACATATATATATTTGCTTGGACTGGTTGTGAGTTGCTTTTTCTAAACTAAAACCTCAGTTTTCAGGTTTTATTGCAGTCTTGGCAATTTGCAATGAATAAGTGGGTTTTGCATTGCAGTTTGGGCACTCATTCTCTATAAGACTAACCATCACTAGGTTAGGGTTAGAAAAACGAGATGTTCTGGCATGATTTAGCTGGTTGGAATGTGTTTAGAATGGGCAGAAATGTTCAGATGTGCAGAAAAAGCTGCTCAAGGAAGGCTTTTTCAAAATCACCCCTTTCAATTGTATTTTCCCCCTATATTAAGGTTAGGCATGTACACCAGGGTAGGGTTAGGGTTACCACAATGAGGTGTCCTGGTATGATTTTGATGGTTGGAATGTGTTTAGAATGGGCAGAAATTTTGAGCTGTGCAGAAAAAGCTACTCAAGGAAAGCTATTTCAAAATCGCATTATTTTCAATAGAACTTTACCCCTCTATTCGGGTTAGGGGTGTGCAACAGGGTAGGGTTAGGGTTAGAAAAACGAGGTGTCCTGGTATGATTTTGATGGTTGAAATGTGTTTAGAATGGGCAGAAATGTTGGGATGTGCAGAAAAAGCTACTCAAGAAAGGCTTTTTCAGTATCACATTATTTTCAATGAAACATTTGCCCTATGTCAGGGTTAGGGGTGTGCACCAGGGTAGGGTTAGGGTTAAAAAACGAGGTGTCCTGGCATGATTTTGATGGTTGGAATGTGTTTAGAATGGGCAGAAATGTTGGGATGTGCAGGAAAAGCTACTCAAGGAAGGCTTTTTCAATATTGCATTATTTTCAATGGAACTTTTGCCCTATATTAGGGTTAGAGACATGCACCAGGGTAGGGTTAGGGTGAGAAAAAAAGAGGTGTCCTGGCATCATTTTGATGGTTGGCATGTGTTTAGAATGGACAGAAATGTTGAGCTCTGCTACCCAAAGGAGGCTTTTTCAAAATCGCATTATTTTCAATGGAACTTACCCTTATATTAGGGTTAGGGGAGTGCTGCTAGGTAGGGTTTGGCCAGTGGTGTTGAGCCCTCTCTGTCGGCACACGAGCCAAGTTGCTCCAGCATCACCCCAGCAGCTGAGCATCAGATTATAGCGCACATGGGGGCCATGCACATGCTCAGAAAGCAGTAGAGACACGAGGCGATGACCTCATGAGCCATGACTCATTAGCCGCTACTCATCTGAGCTTTCCCACATATATATATATATTTGCTTGGACTGGCTGTGAGTTGTTTTTTCTAAACTAAAACCTCAGTTTTTACGTTTTATTTTAGTGTTGGCAACTTTGCGATAAATAAGTGGGTTTTGGGTTGCAGTTTGGGCACTTGGTCTCTGAAAGGTTTGCCATCATTGGCTTAGGCACTGATGAACAGAGGCTCCAAATAGGTTTCTTTCTCTCCTCCAGACCTATGGTTGTATATGAACTCTACAAAAAGCACTCATCATCCCATTACTCTGTCCCCCAAAATAAAAAAGAACCTATTAAAGGGGATCCAGAGTTCTGACAGCAGGTAAGATGTACTTTTGCATCTTTCTGAGCTTCTTGAGTCTCAGGAAAAAGTGCAAAATGTACATCGCCCCATGGACTATCGGAACAGGAAAGAAAATGCTGAGGGTCTTGCCACAAGGGGAGGCAAATCCTACCACTCTCTTTGTTGCAAGTAATGCCCAATGTTGTTTTGACAGGTGTCAGGGGAATTCAAGCCGAGGGAACCATTTGGAGCTTGTTTGGGTCAACCTCCCAATAGTTACCTTCTAGCACAATGCACAGATGAGGCTTACCTTTTTTTGGATAGGTGAAAGTTTACGGATCCATGCTTGTGCAAATCCAACAATAAAACTTATTTGATAAATACTTGAAAAAAAATTACATACCTGTGTGTGCAAAAGGGGAGGGGATCGACCTGTGACAGCCCCTCCAGTGTGCTACTTCTGTGCTTTGAAGAGCGGCCATAGGTGGCAGCATGGGCAAGGTTGCCAAGAGCAGCAAGGGCCTTCTTGCTGCTCTTGACTCATGCCCTGCTCACTGCTGGATTGGGGAGCCAATCGTAGGATTGGCTCTCCAGATTTTGGCAGCATGACAACCCACTGGAAGTAAAACAAATCCTGTAACAACCTATAGGTTCTCAGGGTAACTTGTCTGAAAAACAAAAGCCACTGTATTTTTGTTGGCAGGGAGAGGATGAAGGCTCAGACGCAAAAGAACTTAGCCTTGTGTATACAAGCACCATGACTTTGTGGGGAGAGGTTCTTCCATAGGAAGCAAAATGCTTTGGGTGAATCCTAGTCCTATGTAATAGTCCCTAGATGTGTACCAGCCTTTGCTCACAATTAGATCAGACGGTGGAGGAACTTCCAACACACACTTGCCTTAAGCTGCTGCAATTCAACTCAAAGAAGCAATGCCCTTGACCAGGTTTCTCCCCATCGTGCACTGTGCACGGTTATCCATCTTCGACAGTATGAATGAATGCTTTGCCGCGATTGCTTTATCATTGCAGGTGAGGCCCCTGCTGAACATTCTTTGTCCCTGAATAACTACGAATTCAACCTCAAGCCCACAGGGAAATTCCTCCCCCACCGTAAGCCCCAACACTGCTTCATCAGGCCATGCCATCCTTTCTTCATTGTCAAAGCAGCAGCAATTGAAATACTGCAGTCCTGCCTTTCATCAGTACTCTTGGATGTGGTTGGCTGGGAATATTTTTAAGTGGTTTCAGGCATACCGTTTGGCAGAGGCTCTTGTATGCACGGGCCCCTGATGCACATAAATATGTATCCCCAGCTGACACTGCAGCTGTTGCTACAGTTCCTTTCACAGGGAGAAAACAGCCAGACAGATGCATTAACCAGCACTAATGAATGTCAACTCAGGTTAATTATTTCCTAGATTCTTCGCTTAGGAACACCATAAATCATGTACCCATCTCTAACATAGCGGTAGCTCCAGTTGCGTTGGGCTTCACCTGTCTATCACCTCGTTACAAAGCTCGGTGCATGGGATTCTAAGCGAAACTTAACCTTTTCCACCCCCACCATTCCATTTAAAATAATGAGATTACAAGGCCTGGTACTTGCAGCAATGCTCAGAAAACTGATGGCAAGAATAGATCACTCACTGCACCGTGGCAAAGAATGTCGCGTGGCCCTTGAGACAGTGACGCCTCCAGCCACGGCCGGCTGAACAGTTCAGAGCCCGGTTTCTATGAGCTTTTTGGCAGGAGGGTTTAACCCGCTGCTTCACGGAGGCCACTGCTCCTGTTTCCACTGAGGAAGGGCCTGGCACCCTTTACATGTCCCCCCAGTGCCCCCTGTTTGTATTGCTCCGTCTTCCTATAGATCCTCTAACCGAGGCTCAAGGGGGCATTGCAGCAGTGCTGTAGCAGAGCAGAGCTGGGGCTCTTCCAGAGGCTCTTGCTCTGGTTTGTTGCAGTCGGAATGTCTACAGCTGACTTTCACTCTATACACACACTCCATTAAAATGGCTGGGAAAACACAGGAACGGCGTGTTTTCCCAGCCATTTTAATCCTCCTCCTCCTCCATCCAGGAGGAGGAGGGTGGGGAGAAGAGGGGAAGGAGGAGATCTTGAAAAGGTCCCACAAACTTCTGTGAAGGAGGATTCACAGATGCATAGAACAGTAGTGTTGGAGGAGGCCAAGAAGACAGGTTATCGGGTCCAAACCCTGCTGGTGCAGGACACCAAATCACACCATCAGATGACTGTCCAGTCTTACGTAGAATGTCTCTGGTGTGAGCGCCCATAACTCTTGGCAACTGGTTCCACTGTCTCATTGCCCTGACAGGACGTTTTTCCTGGTGTCTAGCCTGAATCTAGTCTGCCGCAGTTTACGTTTGCTGTTCTGTGTCCTACACTCAGGGATGAGTGAGAAGAGAACTTTTCCTTCCTCTTTGTGGCAGCCTTTGAGCTGCTTGTAGAGCGCTATCATATCTGCTTGGCCAGCTCTTTCA